CCTATGACTTCCCTGTTTAAAGGGTAGTCAGCTGGTCTCTCCACCACTCTTACTGCAATCACTTTGCACAATCCCAAAATTCCAGCCTGCAGCATGACCCTCCACCGAACTCTTTGAGCTGCTACATGCCTCAAGATCACTGCTCTTCTGATTTTTCTCCTCCTGTGAAGATTATATCACTCATTATTTATTCAACAGACATGAACTGAATTCTGTATTAGGACACAACAGTGGAGATGGACATTACCTAGCCTCAAGCTTAGGGACAGAGGATATTAAATAAGCTATCGGGATGGAAGAGAATAATCTCCCAAGGAGATTATTTGAGGTCAGGAGTTCAAGACCAGCCTGGCCAACATGGTGAAACCCCATCTCTACTAAAAATATAAAAAAATTAGCCAGACATGGTGACACGTGCCTGTAGTCCCAGCTACTTGGGAGGCGGAGGCAGGAGAAGAGCTTGAACCCAGGAGGTGGAGGCTGCAGTGAGCCGAGATCAAACCAATGAACTCAAGCCTGGGTGACACATGGAGATTTTGTCTCAAAAACAAAAAACTAAAGTCTAATACATTCATACTTTTGTATTGTGACCATTTGGGTTCATCTGTATTTTCTTACACTATCATCTCCTACTTCTTCATAAACTGATTTAGAAGTGATCCTCCCCACCCTACCCCTTTTATTTTTGGTGTATCTGAGTTTTGAAGTGGCTTATAAGATTTTGTTCCGTATTTCCTCTTTTTAAAATTCACAATCCTAGCAAAAACCTAATCAGACTTCAAAGTCAGCATTTCCTAAGCACCCCCACCCCCACCTCAGCACAGCCACCCTGCCAAGCCAAACTGACCTCTTCCTCCCTCAAGCCCCGGATACAAGGCTCCAGCTGACATCAGGGAACCCTGGCCTAGCTCTGAGCAGCTTCTGTACGGACTGAAAATCCCTAAGGGCAGGAACATCACCAACACAGTACAGGCCCACAGTAATGCTTACATGTTTAAATGGCAGAAAGTCATTCTTTCAAGGTAAATTACTTAGTACTGAGCATAAATTTTTATAAATCCCTTGAATAACAATTGTGCAATATCTATAAAAACTTTAAAGGGCTGGAAGTACCATTTATAGTTAAAGTTCTACAGAAACCTTAGTAGTGGCATAAAAAAGCATGTCCAAGGATGTCTCAGCCATCAGCAGATACCTGGGTAAACAAATTATGGCACATCCTACCACGGAAGAGCCTGTCTCCAGCAGTTAGAGGAGGCAGACCTCTCCATATCAACACTGAAAGATGTCCATAAATTGTAAGATGACAGCTATAGTAAAATCTTGCCATTTATTTTTTTAAAAGAAAAAAAGTATGTGCTCACAGCACAGGGAAAAAATTCTAAGATACACCAAGACACTTTATTTCTGGGGGAATGAGACTAGAAGCAAAGAGGAGAAACCATCCATTTCTACCTTAAACTACTTGTCACTGAATTTGTTAGAATGAGATGTAATGTGTTTTTTATTTTATCTATCTATCTATCTATCTATCTATCTATCTATCTATCTATCTAGATACAGAATCACGATCTGTGGCCGAGGCTGGAGTGCAGTGACACCATCTTGGTTCTCTGCAATCTCTACCTCCCAGGTTCAAGCTATTCTCCTGCCTCAGCCTCCCAAGTAGCTGGGATTATAGATGCTCACCACCATGCCCCGCCGTTTTAATTTTTTTAACATAAACACAGGCCAAGCTCAGTGGCTCATGCCCATAACCCCAGCACTTTAGGAGGTCAAAGTGGGAGGATCCCTTACACCCAGGAATTTGGGACCAGACAGTGCAACATAATGAGATCCCATCTCTACAAAAAATACAAAAATCAGCAAGGTGTGGTGACTTTTGCCTGTGCTACTCAGGAGACCAAGGGGGAGGATCACTTGAGCCCAGGAATCCAAGGCTGCTGTGAGCTAGGATTGCACCACTACACTCCAGCCTGCGTGACAGAGCAAGACTCTATCTCTTAAAAACACACACATATGGCCGGGCGCGGTGGCTCAAGCCTGTAATCCTAGCACTTCGGGAGGCCGAGGCGGGTGGATCACGAGGTCAAGAGATCGAGACCATCCTGGTCAACATGGTGAAACCCTGTCTCTACTAAAAATACTAAAAATTAGCTGCGCATGGTGGCGTGTGCCTGTAATCCCAGCTACTCAGGAGGCTGAGGCAGGAGAATTGCCTGAACCCAGGAGGTGGAGGTTGCGGTGAGCCGAGATCGTGCCATTGCACTCCAGCCTGGGTAACAAGAGCAAAACTCCGTCTCAAAAAAAAAAAAAAAAAAAAAACCACACACACACACACACATATTAGCCGAGTGTGGTGGGCACCTGTAATCCCAGCTACTTGGGAGGCTGAGACAGGAGAAGTGCTTGATCCCAGGAGGCAGAGGTTACAGTGAGCCAAGACAGCTCCATTGCATTCCAGCATGGGTGACACAGGGAGACTCCATCTCAAAAAAAAATAAAAATAAAACCACACACATACAAACATAATCGCTTAAGTAAAACGCTATTTTTTACACTAAAGTGTACATTATTTTACCAGCTTCTTATTTAGGAAACTAAGATATTTTTTAAATTCTGGGTTTTTGTTTTTTTTTTTTTAGCTGCTATATTCACAGCTTGTTCACTGCTATATTCCCTATACCCCGAATACAGACACAGAGCAAGCAGGAACTCAGTAAATATTTGTTGAATAAAGAAACAGCTGTACAATTATAAAGCCAGTTTTTCAGAGGGAAAAAGCACCTAACGACTGCTTCACAAATTCACAGAGGCAAAAAAAAAAAAAAAAAAAAAAAAAATCACTTCAGAAGGTATTTTAGGGCTGGGCGCGGTAGTTCACGCCTGTAATCCCAGCACTTTGGGAGATACAGGCTGGTAGATCGCTTGAGAACAGGAGTTCTAGACTAGCCTGGGCAACATGGAGAAACCCTGTCTCTAAAAAAAATTTAAAAATTAGCCAGGAGTGGTGGTGTGTGGCTGGAGTCCCAGCTACTCCAGAGGCTGAGGTGGGAGGATTACTTGAGCCTAGGAGGCAGAGGTTGCAGTGAGCTGAGATCACTCCACTGCACTCTCCCCTAGGTGACAAAAGAAGACTGTCTCAAAAAAGATAACAGAGATTTTAACAGTTTAGCTCCCAATCTGGATGAGTTAGGATTTTTTTTAAGCAAATATTTAAAGAGAGAACTCTCATCATAAAAGCAATCTTCAAACTCTACCGAATTTGTCCAAGAAAGAGCTCCTTCAAATCAGTTTAATTCACAGCCTGCAGTGTGGCACATGCCTGGTCATAAGTACAAATAATAAAAAGATACATAAAGCTCTGGGAGAAAAACACAGCTCGTCTAATAGACGAAAATCAATAATAGACAATGAGCCTTAATTATTGTCTATTTCAAAGCGCTTATTTCTGCAGGTAATTAACGTTTAGCTTGAACCGGTGAGATCAACTTCCTTTTCTTTGAAAGCCAACGCCCCTAACAAGGAGCCTTTTTATCTTCAGATCCTAAAAGAATGTCCCATAGATGGTAAGCCCTCTATGACCATTGACAGTGCTGATGGGAGAGGCGAGATACCTGGGAGGCCAAACAACAAGCAAGGTTTTAAGGCTTAAGAGACTTGTTTAAAATCTTCAAGGAAAAAAAAAAGCCTTGAACAAACTCGAGGTTTTTTGTTTTTTTGTTTTTTTTTTCAAGGAAGATATAGAGTCTATATTATTACAGACTAACGAAATGTGAATGCACTGGAAAAGATAATTTACATAAACAATTGCCACTATGGAGCACAGCTCCCTCTCCATGCAGTTTCCTTCCCAAGGAAAGCACTTTTAACAACTTGGTTTAGAACACTTGACCCAGCAGTCTACTCGATTCTAAAAACCCACCCACTTCCTGGACTAGTTTTTCAATCACTGTTTTTCATTCTAAATCTTCCTTTGAGAGGGTAATTTAGTCCCAACTAGGAAAACACAAGGACCCAAACAGACTGTCACCAAATATCAGTAATGTTTAGAGGAGGGGAGTGAAGTAAAAACACTCTCCGTCAAACCAACATAACGGGTGTTTAGCGAGCGAGTGACTGGTGTAAATAAAATAACAATCCCTTCAGACTGTCCTGCAATCTTCCTCCAACCCTCCCGGCTCTTTAACAACTGGAAATAAATTCCTCCAAGGTGTAGGCCTTCTCAGACATTTCTCCCACTAGCAGTGACTGTCCAGGAAAGAATGCTTTGAATTCACTGGGAAATCTCCACCAACAATTCACTTAGTAAACTTGTTACTCAAAGGACCCATGCCCTGGTCTCTGTTCTCCCCTTCCCTCTTGAGACCACGCGTCCTGTTTTACATGTCTCGGTGACCACAGTCCTGGGTATGAAACAGGTGACCAGCAAGTGATTTTGCCATTTCATGGAACTGCACAACTCAAAAAGAAAAATCTTTGGAAACCATCTCAAATCAATACGTGTGTTCATTTAGGTTAATAAACGGCTACAAATGGCTTTAAAAAAAAAACAGGCTTTCCAGCTGAACGAATTGTACAGAACTTGGAAGCCAGCGTGAACCTGCCGCGAAGCTACTACTGTGTGGACTGAGGGGGCAGCTGTACAAGAAAGAAACGCAGCCCATGCTGGGCGCCCGAAGGCGGGTGGCCGCGAGAATGGCGAGCGCTGCGTCGGAGGACTGGACTCCCCGCGTTCCTGCCCCGAGGCCGGGAGCTCAGCCTGGAGGAGAAGGGTCGGACCCGGAGGGGCTGCGGGCGCCCGGAGCCGCCGCGCCAGGGAGGGGCGCCCGTTTCCTTGACAACCGCGCCAGGGCGGAGTCCTTCCTCTGGGCCGGGGGAGGGGAGAGAGGAGCGAGGGGACCCCCTGCGCCAAGGCGGCGGCGGCCGCGGGTGGTTCTTGGGCGCAGCAGCCGCAGGCCCGGCTCGCGGGGCCCTGTCCGACCGCGGCCCGCGCCTACCGTGTATCCCCGCTCCAGGTCACTCTCCTCGTAGCGAAAGGACGGGATGTAGACTTCCATGGCCGCGCCGGCCAGCGGGCGGAGGGCGAGTGGGGGGCGGGCTCACGGCCGCGACCGCCGCTCCGCCCACCGCGGGGCCGCCCCGCCCCCCGCCCCCATGCGCCCGCGGGGCCGGGAGGCTGCGGGTCGGGATCCAGGTCTGCGCTCTCACCTGGCTGCTCGCCGCGCCCTGGGCGTGCCATAGGCGTGCCGGGGGCCGGGAGCGGAGGGCGCAGGGCTCCTGGCGCCTGGGTTTCGGGCCTAATGGGCGGCGGAGATCATCTGGGCCCGAAGGAGGCGGGGCCAGAAAATCTGAGTCTGCAGAAACCGGTTGTGCGCGCCACCGCGCTAGGCACCAGGACTGGGCCGCACACGGTGCCCACTACCCGGCGGATTTCGGCGGGCGCTTGATTGGCAGTTTGCTAGACGCCACCATTAACAGATTGCCAGATAGCAAAGACTAGAAAGCGTGGGGTTTTGAACTTTTGTTTTGGTTGGTTGAAATTTTTTTTTCCGTCTTGGCTGGTATTAACGGGTCAACCATCCAGCTTTAACCCAGACTCTCCGATTTCCTTTCGATTCGACGGTCACCGTCTCCTTTTGAGTTAGCCGCCGAATCTGGGAATGGTGGTGTACCACCGAGCTCAAAAATGAACCCAAAAGTTGGCAGGTCACTAAGAGACAAACGCTCTGGCTTCACGCTCCAGTTCTAAAATGCTGCCTCTGTGAAGTGCTTTTTTAATTACAAGGGAAAAATAGAAGACAAAAAAAGAAAAGAAAAAAGGAGGGACTGAACTCCGCACCTCAGACTAGGGCCTAGTCGCCTGAAGGTCTCCAAAAGATGAAGTGTCCCAGCGGAGGAAGCTTGATTATCAAGTTACTCAAGTAAACGTTGAGTTTCTTCTTTAGGTTAAAGCACAGAGAATAGAAACGTGGACTTGGACGGACGCGGTGGCTCACGACTGTAATCCCAGCACTGTGGGAGGCCTAGGCAGGCGCATCACGAGGTCAGGAGTTCGAGACCAACCTGCCCAACATGGTGAAATGCCGTCTCTACTAAAAATACAAAAATTAGCCGGGCGTGGTGGCGCGTGCCAGTAATCCCAGCTACTCGGGAGGCTGAGACACGAGAATCGCTTGAATGCGGGAGGCAGAGGTTGCAGTGAGCTGAGATTGCACCATTGCACTCCAGCCTGGGCAACAAGAGCAAGACTCCATCTGAAAAAAAGAAACAGGAAAAAAAGGCCGAGCGCGGTGGCTCATGCCTGTAATCCCAGCACTTTGGGAGGCCCTGGCGGGCAGATCACAAGGTCAGGAGTTTGAGACCAGCCTGGCCAACATGGTGAATCCCCGTCTCTACCAAAAATACAAAAATTAGCCAGGCGCATAATCCCAGCTACTTGGGAGGCTGAGGCAGAAGAAGCGCTTGATCCCAGGAGGCGGAGGTTGTAGTGAGCCGAGATCACGCCACTACACTCCAGCCTGGGCGACAGAGCAAGACTCCATCTCAAAACGTAAAACAAAAAAAAATATGGATGTGATTTTGTAGGTCATTGAGAAGTGACCTCAGCAGTCCAGGAAAACAAGTAACCAGCCAGCGAGCTTTCTTGGCCTATAAACAATTGCACTTAGTTGGTCCTTGAGGGCAGGGGACTGTCAACTTGGCAAACTCTAGAGTTTATGATGGGACCCTGAGCCGTGTAACAGAGGGATAAGGCAGCTTCTCGTCTTAGGAACTTACCTGATGTGGACCCTGCACAGCCCTCTGCATTAGCCTCATCTGAAGATCTGTCCTCCTAACCCAGCACTCATGCATTTGCAGCTCCAGGATGTGCCCTTCTCTCAAAATTCCGTGCCTTAACTGTGCCCTGTGACTACACACCTTTCTTTCTTCTGGCCAGCACCTCCTGAGGTAACCAGCCAGCTCTGTGGATGATAAGCTGTCTGAGTTCAGAGCCCAGCTTGTAGGTTACCTTAAGCCACTGGTGACTATACACTGTATGTGTGATTTATTTACCCTACCCACTAGATTTTAGAGCAAGTATGCTTTTAAAAACGCATCATCTCATGGTTGGCATAGTATCCAGCACATAGCTTAGATAAGTACTCATCTTTACAAAACTAGTGAAATGCAGCAGGTACTATGTTTGATACTATCACATAATGTTGTCTCACTTCAGCTCTTTAACAATCATATGGCCGGGCAAGGTGACTTGCCTGTAATCCCAACATTTTGGGAGGCTGAGGCAGGCGGGTCACCTGAGGTCAAGAGTTTGAGCTCAGCCTGGACAACATGATGAAATCACGTCTCTACTAAAAATGCAAAAATTAGCTGGATTACAGGGAGGTGGCTCACCCCTGTAATCCCAGCTACTTGAGAGGCTGAGGTGGGAGAACTGCTTGAACCTATGAGGCAGAGACTGCAGGGAGCCGAGATCATGCCACTGCACTCCAACCTGGGCAACAAAGCAAGACCCTGTCTCAAAACAAACAAACAAAAACCAATCACATGAGGAAGTGTTATATGCAATAAGAGGCAACATGGGTTTCAAGGGCTTTCCAAGAATCAAGTTTTTAATATGCTCTCTATACTATCCTACAACCTGTTGGTAACCTGGAATACATATTTTGATAATGGCATGGCTCACCCATTTACCTGTTGGATTTAAGAGGCAGAAATGTGTGGGGCCATGAAGGTCTGACAAATGGTCCAAATAATACCCATTTGCTGTATTCCACTAATAGCTGTGTATAATTTACATTTCCCTTGCTGAAAATATATACAAACTATCAATTTGTGGGTGTGTTTTTGAGCATATATTGGCCCAGCCATAAATGGTCATTGTTACAATTTCAATGATTTTAGATGACATAATTAAGACTCACAGAGGATAAGTACTATGAAATTACTAGCTAATAACTAGAAGAACTAAATTTCTAACCAAATCCTGTGAGTCTTCCAGCCACCAAGGAAGGGGAGAATAGAGCACCAAAGTAAAATGACATGGCAAATGTATTACCCTGTTGTTCCTACATTATCTTTTAATCCAACTCTATAATCTAACAGGCCAGCTAAATATCTTTTCTTCAAAACATTAATAAAAATGCATGGTAAATACATATATAAGACACTGAACAGTTAGTATCTCTTAATAGAAGCAAACAATTTTCATGAGCAAAATCATAAAATTCTTTAGCAGTAAACGCTTGGCTAAAAAAAAATCATAAAATTCTGCTGGAATCTAGGTACAAAATTCTTACACTAAAAGTACATTTACTTAGTATTGAGTAGAAATATACTTCAGCAAATTGAGTGATAAACTGCATACTAACATATTAGAGGTTTTGCCTAAAATGTAAATCGAATATATTATACATTCAGCATTCAATTATAAGATTAAAACATCATGACAAAGTAAGATTTATCCCAGAAATGTAAAGATGGCTAAATATGAGGACATCTTTTGATGTATTTTGTAATATTGTCAGATTAAAAAATATCCCAACAGATCCTGAAAAAAATTAACGAAACAGTACAACCATTCATACAGATTCTTAGAAGTAGAAAGAAATATCTTTAATTTGATAAAGATTAACGTCTTAGTCCCTTTTCTGCTGATATAACAGGATATCACAGACTGGGTAATTTATAAAGAATAGAAGCTTATTTGGCTCAGAGCCTGGGAAGTCCAAGAACATGGCCCTGGCATCTGTGACGGTCATCTCATAGCAGAAGGGCAAGAGAGCATATCAGAGAAAGAATAAGGGGCTGGGCTCACTTTTATAACAACCTGCTTTGAGAGAACATCAAGGGGGAAGGTTATATCGAGAAAAATGAAGGCAAGAGAGAGGTGACAGGCACAAATTGGAGGATTTAATGTTAGGAGATGAAAGCAGAGTTTCTGATAATGAGAGAATAGGAGAGAAGAAGTGAGAAAGTAGTGAAAGAAGGAAAGTTAAGTTTCAGAAATAATGGCATTAATTTTTAGTATATTGGCAGTTTTTAAAAAATAGTTACTTTAGGCTGGGCATGGTGGCTTATGCCTGTAATCCCAGCATTTTGGGAGGCCGAGGCAGGTGGATCACCTAAGTTCAAGACCAGCCTGGCCAACATGGTGAAACCCCATCTCTACTAAAAATACAAAAAATTAGCCAGGCATGGGGGCCCGTGCCTGTAATCCCAGCTACTCAGGAGGCTGAGGCAGGAGAATTGCTTGAACCTGGGATGGAGAGGTTGCAGTGAGCAGAGATTGCGCCATTGCACTCCAGCCTGGGCAATAAGAGCAAAACTCTGTCTCAATTAAAAATAATAATAATAACTTCAATATGGGCAACAATTTGGAAAGAATGCTGTCGATGAGGATTGAATTAAATATATATTCAATGAAGATTGAACAAAATATATGAATATTAATTGCATTTAAAAAGACTGTTGTACAGATATGGTGGTTTTTTTTTTGTTTGTTTGTTTGTTTGTTTGTTTTGAGATGGAGTCTTACTAAGACACCCAGGCTGAAGTGCAATGGCATGATCTTGGTTCACTGCAAACTCTGCCTTCCTGGTTCAAGCAATTCTTCTGCCTCAGCCTCCCGAATAGCTGCGACTACCATCGTGTACCACCACATCTGGCTAATTTGTATTTTTAGTAGAGATGGGGTTTCACCATGTTGGCCAGGATGGTCTTGAACTCCTGACCTCAAGTGATCCACCCATCTTAGTCTCCCAAGTGCTGGGATTATAGCCGTGAGCTACCACACCTGTGCCCAGCCTGTTGTACAGATTTCTGAGTTAAGATAGCAAACTGAAAATACAGAACTAATTTCAACCTTCTAGTCCCAGTAGAAATGCAAGTAATTTTTCCCTTTTATTTTTTTAAACCTACAGAGATAGAAAAAACAGGAGAGGAGAAAGCAAGACTTTTGTCAGCTGGAAAGCAGAGAGAAGGGAAGTAACATTTCTAGGAAACAAGAGAAATCCCAATCTTAAACCAATAGCAGGAAAACACAGAACCAACCTGATTTACACAGCATAATACTCAAAAGGCACCAGGAAAGGAACAATAGGTACCTCTAGAATGGGAGGTAACTGGCTAAAATAAGAAGTATTGGTAAAAACTGAGAATCAGGAAGATCGTTTTTCTTCCTCTACAACTGGAGAATAT